CCCGAGGGCTCCTTTGACTCCTTCACGGTGCAGTACAAGGACGCCCAAGGGCAGCCCCAGGTGGTGCCCGTGGACGGCGAGTCCCGCACGGTGACTGTGCCCGACCTGGTGCCCTCCCGACGCTACAAGTTCAACCTGTACGGGATGTGGGGACGGAAACGCCTGGGTCCCATCTCCACTGATGCCTTCACGGGTGAGAGCAACCATGGGTATCAGCTTGGACCCTGCTGGGCCTTGGGGTTGCATCAGGGCAGGAGCTTGGCCAAGGGGAAGGTCTTAGACGATGGGTGGGGATGGATGGATGGATGGATGGATGGATGGATGGAGAGATGGATGGATGGATGGAGAGATGTATGGATGGATGGAGAGATGGAGGGAGGGACGGAAGAATGGAGGGAGGGATGGAGGGGTGGATGGGTGGATGGATGGAGAGATGGAGGGATGAATGGAGGGATGGATGGAGGGAGGGAAGAATGGATGGAGGGATGGATGAAGCAACGGATGGAGAGATTGATGGAGGGATGGAGAGATCAATGGAGGGATGGCTGGAGGGATGGACGGATGGACAGATGGTTGGACGGACAGAAGGACTGAGGGATGGATGAAGGGATGGAGGGATGGATGGATGGATGGATGGATGGAGGGATGGATGACGGTCTTGCTGGGTGACTGCACGAGGGGTGGCTTGTCCAGATGTAGGGATGGATGAACGGGAAGCTCATGGATGACTCTCTGTCCTCTTGGTCCCCTGCACCGTGTCCTCTCCATCACAGCCCCTGCCCCATCCGAGGAGGAACCTCCATCCCAGCCCCACCTGGGCAACCTCACGGTCTCCCAGGTCACCCCGACCTCCGTCCAGCTCCAGTGGACCGTCCTCGAGGGCCCCTTTGACTCCTTTGTGGTGCAGTACGAGGATGGGCAAGGGCAGTCCCGGGAGGTGCCCGTGGGCGGTGACGCCCACACGGTGACGCTGCCCGACCTGGCACCGTCCCACGGCTACCAGTTCAACCTGTACGGGGTGTGGGGACGGGAGCGCCTGGGCCCCATCTCCACCAACGTGGTCACAGGTGAGGGGCCTCCGTGGGCCTTGGTGGCCCTTGGTGCGTCCCCAACATCTTCATGCCTCTCTCATGTCCCCATGTCCATATATAGGGTCTCTAGGTGGGACCTATGGCGTCTATAGGTTCTCTTACATTCTACGGCATCTATAGGTTCTCTATAGGAGCTCTTGGTTCACGAGGTTGTCTAGGGCCCTATGGCTCATGTGAGGGGGTGTCTATGGTTTCTATGGCATCTTTGGGGATCCTATGGAGCCTGCGGGTGCTCCAGGATCCATGGGGTGCTCAGGGGTCCATAGGGTGGTGTGGGGTCCATAGGGTGATCTGATGGAGTCTGGTGGTGCTCAAGGGTCCATGGGGTGGTCGGGAGTCTATAGGGTGATCCTATGGAGTCTATCAGTGCTCAAGGGTCTGGGGGGTGGTCTGGGATCCATAGGGTGGTCTGGGATCTATAGGGTGATCTGATGGAGTCTGTTGGCGCTCAAGGGTCCATAGGGTGGTCTGGGGTCTATAGGGTGGTGTGGAGTCTATAAGGTGGTCTGGAGTCTATAGGGTGGTCTCATGGAGTCTATCAGTGCTCAAGGGTCCATGGGGTGGTCTCGGGTCTATAGGGTGGTGTGGGGTCCATAGGGTGGTCTGGGGTCTATAGGGTGGTGGGGGGTCTATAGGGTGATCTGATGGAGTCTATCGATGCTCAAGGGTCCATAGGGTGGTGTGGAGTCTATAGGGTGGTGTGGGGTCTATAGGGTGGTGTAGGGTCCACAGGGTGGTCTGGTGTCCATAGGGTGGTGTGGGGTCTATAGGGTGGTGGGAGATCTATAGGGTGGCCTGATGGGACCCATGGGAGGTCTGCAGAGCTGTATGGAGCCCATAGGTCCATGGGCCCTATGGGGTGTGATGGGGAGAGCTATGGGGTCCAATGGGTTCTATAGGGTGGCTGGGGCACCGGGGGGTTGGACTGTCCTTGGGGGGCTCTTGGGGACTCTGGGGGGTCTCTGGGACCCATGGGCTCTATAGGGGGCCCATGGGCCCCCAGCCCCACGTGGTGGCTCCCCCCAGACCCGTCGTCCCCCCGGGGGCTGCGGGTGGAGGAGGTGACGCCCCGGAGCGCCCGGCTGCGCTGGGACCCCCCCGGCGCCCCCCACCGTGGCTACGTCCTCACGTATGGGACCCCCGGCGGGGACCCCCAGGTACCCCCGGGGCCCTATATACCCCACGGGGACCCCAAAACTGTCCCGGGGACCCCAAAACTGCACTGGGCACCCCAAAACTGTCCTGGGGACACCAAAACTGTCCTGGGGACCCAAAACCACCCTGGGGACCCCATAACCCCCTGGGGACCTCAATGACACCCCTGGGGCCCCAGTAACCCCCGATTTCCCCCCCAGGGACCCCCATAACCCTCTGGGGACCCCAATAACCCCCTTGGGGACCCCAATGACACCTGTGGGGACCCAATAGCCTCCCTGGGGACCCCATAACCCCCTTGGGACCCCAGTGACCCCTTTGGGGACCCAAAACCCCCCCGATCACCCCCACGGACCCCAATAACCCCCCAATAGCCCCCTGGGGACCCCAGTGACACCCCTGAGGACCCAATAACCCCCCAGGGACCCCAATAACCCCCTTAGGCACCCCAATGACCCCCAGGGACCCCAATGACACCCCTGGGACCCTAGTAACCCCCCGATTCCCCCCAGGGACCCCAATATCCCCCCGAGCCCCCCACCAGGTTCCCAGGGACCCCATGGGGCCCCCCGTGACCCCCATGTCCCCCCCTCCAGAGGCTGGAGCTGCCCCCCAAGGCTGTGACCCACGAGCTGGGCGGGCTAGAGCCGTCTGGGCACTACCGGGTGCAGCTGCGGGTGCTGGGGGGGGGGCCCCCCCTCGAGGCCGACGTCGACACCCGTGAGCCGGACGCCTGGGCCCCCTTGGGTGGTCCCGGACGCCTGGGCCCCTTGGGTTGGGGAATTGGGGGTCCCAGGACGCCTGGGCCCCTGGTTGGGGGGTGGGGGGGTCCCGGACGCCTGGGCCCCTGGTTGGGGAATTGGGGGTGGTTCCCGGATGCCTGGGCCCCTCCCGGACGCCAGGGCCCCT